CTTCGCCAAATTTGCTTTTTATTGTGCACCAAATGTGTAATATTAGTCTAAATAGAATGGAATTGGGCATAGAAAAAATTGTGTCAAATATGGTGGAAATCGGTTCAGATATAGCTATACCTCCCATAGATATACTTCATCCGATTTGTTAAATTTATCATTTACAGCCGTAATAATCATTCCGTAGCAACGGGGAAAAACATCTCAGAAATACTTTTGACAAAATTTATCGAGATCGGTTCAGATTCGGATATAGCTCCTATATACAGCGTGAGATAAAAAAAACTGCAACAAAATCAAACGCCATAATTTTTACATTTTTATACCCTCCACCATAATTTTTTTCATACCGTTTGTAAAACCTCGAAATACACATTTTAGACCCCACAAAGTATATATATTCTAGATCTATGTCGATTTAGCAATGTCCGTCCCTCTGTCCGAACGAATTGGAGTAGATTGAAAAAATTTTGCTCAAATGTATGTTATGTCCGCAGGAATTGGGAATGGGCCATGTAGGTCCACGTTTCGGTATAGCCCCCATATAACGGTACCACCTGATATTCGGTATTTGGATGATTTTATGGACATTTTTCACCCGAATTGTTTCAAATTTGGTATTTGAAGTTCGTAATGGGTATTACAGCCTATGACAGAAAATTATCTGTGCAGGTCCACGTCTTTATAGAGCCCCCATATAACGGTACCTCCCGATATTCGGTATTTTAATGATTTTAGGAACATTTTTCACCAGAATTGTTTCAAATTTAAAATTTGAAGTTCGTAATGGATACTACAGTCTATGACAGAAAATTGTCTGTGCAGGTCCACGTCTTCGTATAACCCCGATATAACGGTACCTCCCGATATTCGGTATATAGCTCTTTTCCTTGTTTTTTTTTTTTGTAATTTTATTGAATGAAAACAAAAAATGTCGGAAATAGAAACAAATTTTAGAATAAATTTAGATTTGTTCGAATTGGTCACCATTGGGACGAGTCATGGCCTTCAAAGGCCAATGAAACCGTCACACGCTGCCCGAATGTTGCTCTGCGGTATTTTGGTCCATTCCCGTCGAAGCGCTTGCTTGAGGTGATCGACACTTCGGTTTTTTTTAAGTGCCAACCTTGCTTTCCAAAATACTCCATACACAATAGTCCAACGGATTGGTATCCGGAGGGTTTGGTGGCCATTGTGCGCTGGAAATGAAGCGACGAACCTCATTTTGTAACCATTCTTGGGTGGCGCGTTCCTAGTGCGATGGTGCATAGTCCTGTTGGAATGTCCAAGGTCTGCGGCCAAAATGTATGCGTGCCCAAGGCTTTAATACACCCTTCAGAATATTTTCGCGGTAATATTCGGCATTTATTCTGATGCAACGGTCGATTAATACGAGCGGAGAGCGACCATCGGCTGTTGGGCGGCCCATACCATCACCACGGCCGGCGATTGAGTTCTGTTGGCCAACCGAACCGCACATTTTCAGCTGACCTCTTTGGCAAGTAAACAAGATCATTTTGTTTGTTTTTCTTTAGCTTTTTTGAGTCTATTTTCTTTCTTTTGCGATGTAAGTTTTGCACTTTATGAAATTTTACCCCGAGCTCATTTTTGAATATTTTCCGAATGGAATACTGCGATATATTAAGCTCACCAGCCATTTTTCGGCCACTGCCACCCGGATTTCGATCAAGTCGCTTCTTTACTTTTCGAACCATTTCTGCTGATGTGGCTGCTTTCTTCCGTCCACTTCCTTGAAGTCGGGCTACGCTACCAGTGTCACGGCAACGAGCGATGTAACGAGACACAAAAGATTTATTTACATTTAAATGCTGGAGTGCTCTAACGATAGCCACTTGTGGTTTTCCAGCCAAATATAAAGAAATCACACTAGCACGCTTGAATTCCATCACGAATAACTTTTTTTCTGGAAAATTCTCACTAAAATCGGATGAGTGGCTTAGAAATGGCAGCAGTCTGAAGTTGGTTACAGTTTTTATACCCTCCACCATACTATGGAGGGTATATTAATTTTGTCATTCCGTTTGTAATTCCTCGAAATACTCATGTCAGACCGAACCAAGTATATATATTCTTGATCAGCGTAAAATTCTAAGACGATTTAGCCATGTCCGTCTGTCTGTCTGTGTGTCTGTCTGTCCGTCTGTCTGTTGTAATCACGCTATCTTTCGAACAAATTGAGATAGAAGGCTAAAATTTTGCAGGTAGGCAGGTTAAGTTCGTAAATGGGCCATGTAGGTCCAAGTTATCATATAGCCCCCATATAACGGTACCTCCCGATATTCGGTATTTTGATGATTTTAGCGACATTATTCACCGGAATTGTTTCAAATTTGGCAATTTGAATTTCTTAAGGGATACTACAGCGTAAGACAGAAAAATATCTGTGCAGGTCTACGTCTTCGTGTAGCCCCCATATAACGGTACCCCCCGATATTCGGTATTTTGATGATTTTAGCGACATTATTCAGCGGAATCATTCCAAATTTGGTATTTGAAGTTCGTAATAGATACTGCAGCATAAAACAGAAAATTGGCCATGTAGGTCCATGTCTTCATATAGCCCCCATATACCGTACCCCCCAATATTCGGCATTTTGATGATTTTAGCGACACTATTTACCGGGATTGTTTCAAATTTCGCATGTGAAGATCGTAATGGATATTTCAGCCCATGTTAGAAAATTGTCTGTGTAGGTCCACGTCTACGTATAGCCCCCATATAACGGTACCCCCCAGATTCGGAATTTTGATGATTTTAGCTTCATTATAAACAGATTTTTCTTCAAGTTTCGCATGTAAATATTGTAATAACTTATGAAAAAAGTTTCCTATGCAGGTCCACGTCGTCGTATAAGCATTCGGTATTTTTAAGGTTTTAACAGAATTCTTAACGGATTTTATTTATTTATTTTTTTTTTTTTTTGGAAATTGCCAAATTTGTACCAAATGGTGGAGGGTATTAAAAGTTCGGCCCGGCCGAACTTACATCTTTTTTACTTGTTTCATCTCACCCTGTACTGAAGCCTGGGGTTTTGAAAATTCGGACTAGAAGTGTACTTCTGTATACTAAACTTTGAACATTTTTGTTTTTTGTGAACAGATACAAGTAGAATCTTGACAATTGGTACAAAAATTAAGTTTGGGAAGTAGTATTGATATAAGGAAGTTTTTGGACATGTGTATTAAGTGTAACGACTGTACCAAATGATACTAAATTCCTAAGAATTTAGTGTTATTTAAACGGATTGATCTGCATACGAAATGTTACAAATTTGGTATTGCGTGAACGGAGACTGCTTGAAATCTGAAACTTTGCAGATCACTGTTAGTGTGTAGGTTTGAGATTTGGAGGTTGTTTTGGAAATGCGGACTAAAAATACATAAATATTTCGAAATAAAATATTCGCGTAAGTGATTAAGTTATAAGTCAAAATACGCCATTAGGAATACCTATTGTACGTTTTGGTTTGGGGGATTTGGTAAAAAAGTATGAAGAGCTGGAAATTTGAAATTTAGAATAAGAGTGTTTGATGTTGTGTTGGATAGACAAACTAAATGTGCAGGAAAAGTACTAAAATGTACTAAATTTAGTACTATTTGGATGTATTTAAAATTCAGTATGTGAATCATGTGTGGGAAGCGCGGTGGATATAACAAGATGGTTATCTCCAATTTCAATAGGATTCGTCCTTGGGCCAAACAAATGTTGTTTGGAAAATTTCGTCTCAATCGGATAATAAATGCGACCTGCATTTTGTTCACAAGAATACATGGACAGACGGACGGACTGATATGCATAAATCAACTCAGAAAGTGATTCTATGGAGCTCCTCAAAAGTAACAATGGGCCTATCTCGCTTCCTTCTCCGTGTTACAAACAAATGCACAAAGACATAATACCCTTACCACAGTGTGGTGTAGGGTATAAAATTCGCATGCCATAAAAAATATGACAAAAATTGAAAAAATTCGACAAAAAATATTCATTTTTTATTGGTATATTTTTCCGCGATTTTCTTAGACCATTAGGGTCTATTTTACCCGCTAATTATTGCCTGATGGCCTGATCTGCCAAATCCTAAACTCTAACTCCATGTAAATTTTCGCGTCGATTGGTTCATAATTGTGACCTATAGAGCAACTGCAAAATCAGGAAATTTTTCTGTTTTTGGTCTATTTCAACTCCTAAATATCGTGCCATCATCTTAAAATACAATAGGGTTTTATTCTGACCATAACCCCATCTTCATTTTCAATTTCGTGAGGATCGGTTCACCTGTAGCTTGATAACAAATTAACATGGACAGACGGACATACATAGCTAGATCGACTCATCTCGGGGAGATAGGAAAATCCATATATACTTTCCTATGTGGGGAACCAATATTTTGAGGTGTTACATAATTTTTGACCCAATCAAACTTATAAAACCCCCAACACATAGTGTTTTAGGGTATAATGATCAAAATGCCGAATTTCGGGAGGTGCCTTTATATGGGTGTTATGCGAAGACATGGACCTGCATATGGAATTTTCTGCTAGTGGAGGTAGTATCCATTTCGAACTCGAAATTCCAAATTTTATACAATTCCGATGAAAAATGTGACACAAAACTTCAAAATAACGTACAGTTATATGGAGGCTATACCTTAACTTGAATTTATATGGACAGTTCTTTTCAAAGATATTTCCCACATATAGGGAACACAAACTGCTAATTTATAACAAATTCTGTTAAAAAATATGACTTATATCTAACGGTACAGATATATGGGAGCTTTGTCAAAATGTGGACCTATGTATGTATCCCATTTTCAATACAAAAAATTTTACGGACCTAAAATACACCTTAATAAAATTTCATCCTTCTTTATTTCGTTCGAAAACTGGAGTGATGTCCAGAGACGGCGGACAATTTTAAATCGACATAGAATCTTATGTTGATCAAGAAGATCTAGCTCCACTGAATTTTCTTCAAGTCGATTTAGAAACACTTTTATTATGTCCATTTATTCAAAACATTCAATTCATATTTAAGGATCACGATCACATTCAATGGGGCCATTAAGGTCACATTCAGTGACACAAATCTGGCTACCACTGGAATTACATATTAAATTCCTCGGACACACTCCTCCGTTGTCCGTAACTTCAGTTCCATTGCACATTGCGTATGTTTTTCGACTGGTACAGGTAAACAATTTACTACCATCGCATGTGCCACAGCTTTTCTCGCGAACGCAATCGGGTTGAAGGCCCATTCCCTTTGCAGCACACTTCACCGAAGAACGGACACATATGTTACCCGTGGGACATGTCATGACACTTTTGGTATCCGGATTGGAACCGTAGCATATGTGAAATGAGGTTTCATTGATGCAGGCAATGCCATTGGTGCCACATGTGTCACATTTGGCATCAGTTTGTTGGACTATCAGGACAAAGGCAACCACTGCCAGCAGAGGCTAGGAAATAGTTTTGTTATGATTTTGAAAACTTGAAGTGGAATTTGAAATACTTACCAGATATTTATTAAGTTGTAACATAATGATCAAACAAATAGTTCTCGCCGCACGTCAGTTGATGAATGACTCTAAGGCAAATAATTTGACACTTTTTATAGAAGAAGTGTTGTTGAATAGTCTTATCTATAAAGGAGGGAAAGACAAATCAAGTGTTTTGGTTATGATTTAAGAAGTTTTTTATTTACTTTTCATGCTTACTTATCTTTGTGGTCTAATAAAAGATGAATTTTAATTGTGTCCTTCACACATAAATTTGAGTATATATGGAGGTATTCTTGGAAATGCCATTCTTCCTCAATTTTCTTCTTCTATATCTATAAAAGAGGAAAATGTTTGTATGTTTGTTTGTAATTTATGGACTAAAATTTCCAAGTACACTACAACATCGCCTGGAAGTAACATAGGTTATATAAACTTTAGAAGTTCCACTTGGATCTGGAGATATGGCATCAGAATCGGAGGTAGCTCCCAAAAATTTAGATTTTATATGCACATATCTACTGATAGATTACAGATACAGTCTTCAAATTTGAATGCATGACGGAATTTGGAACAAAAATAAATTTGCCAAATCATATTGAAATCGGTTCGGATTTGGATATAGCTCACATATATATACATTTTAGCCCGATTTAAACTATTTGATGCACCAAACACGATACATATGTCCGATTGCAATGAAATTCGGCATGAGTGACTAAATTTGGTACAAAAATAAATTTGTCAAATTATATTCAAATCGTTTCAGATTTGGATATAGCTCCAATATATATTGTTGGCCAATTTTACATATTTTATGCACCAAACGCGATACGTATGTCCGACTCCAATGAAATTTGGCATGAGTAATAATTTTGCTACAAAAATAAATTTATATAGCTCCAATATTTATTTCGACCGACTTCATATATGTGATGCACTCAACGCGATATCTATCCGATTCCACTGAAATTCAAACAGAGAGACGAAATTCGGTACCAATTTTCCAAATTATATTGAAATCGGTTGAGGTTTGGGTATAGCTCTAGCTATAGGGTGAGATGAAAAAAAGCAACTAACTTCAGACTGCTGTCATTTCTAAGCCATTCGTCCGACATCTATTAAAATTATTCCAGTGACAGCTCATTATATTGTTTACAAGCGTACAAAAGTATTTTGGTGAGAATTTTCAAGAAAAAAAGTTATTCGTGATAGAAATCCAGCGGGATAGTGTAATTTCTTTATATTTGGCGGGAAAACCACAAGTGGCTATTGTTAGAGCACACAAGCATTTAAATGTGAATAAATCTTTTGTGTCTCGTACCATCGCTCGTTACCGTAGTGTAGCCCGACGACAAGGAAGTGGACGGAAGAAAACAGCAACATCAGCAGAAATGGTTCGAAAACTAAAGAAGCGAGTTGATAGAAACCCGCGTCGCAGAGGCCGAAAAATGGCTCGTGAGCTGAACATATCGCAATATTCCATTCGGCAAATATTGAAAAATGAACTCGGGGTAAAGCCATTGAAATTCTAAAAATTTCTTGCACATTTTACACCGCAAAAGAAAGAAAACAGTCTTAAAAGAACTAAAGAGTTGCTGCAATGGCCACCAAAATCTCCGGAACTGGATCTGGATCTGGAGTATGTTAGAAAGCAAGGTTGGCACTAAAAAATACCAAAGCGTCGATCACCTCAAGCAAGTTCTTCGCCGGGAATGGGCCAAAATACCGCAGAGCAAAATTCGGGCAGCGTGTGACGGTTTCATTGGCCGTTTGAAGGCCATAAATCGTGCCAAATGTGACCAATTCGAACAAATCTAAACTTATTCTAAAATTTGATGCTATTTCCGAAATTTTTTGCTTTCATTCAATAAGATTAAAAAAAAAATGTAAAAATTATGACGTTTGACTTTGTTACAGTTTTTTTATCTCACCCTATATATCTTCAACCAATTTCGGGTTAATTGTGCACCAAATGGCCAATATCTGTCCATGCAACTGAATTCAGTCTAGAAGCAGGAACATCAATTTTGGAGAAAATCGGTTCAGATATAGCTATAGCTCTATATATATATTGGTGTCATCCGATTTGATGTTTAAGTCCCTCACATTCGTAATATGCATTCGACAACAATGATATTTGGTACCAGATATCTTATAGAGCTCTGAAATACCTTTGCCAAATTTTATTGGTTCTGATTTGGATATAGCTCCCATGTATATCCTTAATCTGACTTCAAGTTAATTGTGCAAATAATGGCTAATAACAGCCCAAATGGACCGAACTTTGACTCTTCCGACGGATTTCGGTCTAAAATCAAGTGCTTCAAATGTTGGTTAAAATCGGTTCAGATATGGCTATAGCTCCCATATATATGTTTCATCCGATTTGGTGTTAAAGTCCTGGACATCCGATGCAACTTGAACATACCTTTGCCAAATTTTATCGAGATCTGTTGTTTATATAGCTTTGATATACATCTTCATCCGATTTACGGTTATTTCTTACCATTTATGTAACATCACCCAAATTGAATAGATGTTTTCATATTCCACCGAATTTTACTATTTGGTGAATCTCCGTCCGGTATATCTATTGCTGCAAAAAATATTTTTTAATATATTCTTTATCGAAGTCATATCATGCACTATAGCAATGTTATTTGGTTCTACTTCACATAAATTCCCCATATAAACTTTTTGTGTTACGAGAGCTTCACTAAATACCCATAGTGGTGTAGGATATCATGTAGTCGGCCTTGACAGACGTTTTACCTTTCCTAAGTGGTTTTACTTGTTTTTAAATATTTTCAAATTTCTTGCATATGATGGAGGGTATTCAAAGTTCGGCCCAGCCGAACTTTCTGCATTTTGAGAAATCATCTAAGTTCCAAATATCGGGAGTTACAGTTATATTGCACCATACCAAAACTTGGATTTACATAGACTGCTCCTTCGCGCCGTTACTCGTTAACGCACTTTACATGTGGTGTAGGGTGCAATTTTATTTTCGCATGTGTTGTCATTATTTGGAACCGGAAGTAATATCTTTCTGTATTTTGAAGGAAAAATTCTAATTCTTTAATACCAAATAACAAAAAAAAAAAAAAAAAAAACTAATGTTTCTGCATCATAATAACAATTGTTTACATTATATTTAATAATTTTTAAATTCTTAGAAAAAATACAGCTCTTTCCCATAAAATATGGGACAATAACATATATGACACTCTTTTGCTATAGACACTTGTTTGTTTACATTCTTAAGATATTTTACCATCCAATTGACATTGAAAGATATACAAGATAAACTTACGTATTCTAAAGATACAGATGTTCACTTGCCAAAAATCTTGCCAAGATAACGGTCTCTGATAATCACCGGTAAATACAATCAACCCACACCACCCGTTTTGTATAAAATCTAAAAAGTTTCTACGAATAACTTCAGTAATAGATAAGGTATTGTAAGGAACAAATTTAAAAACTAAAATCTTTGGGAAAGTAGTTAACACTTCACAATGTTTAGGATTGCAGTAAGTTGCCTTCTCCATTTTGATTTGTTGGTTTTGTATTAAATGTTTTCAATTATTGTTTTTGTTTTTTTTTTATATGAATAGATTTTTTGTGTGCTAAGTTTTGCCATTTTGCAAAATACGGAAGCCGTGTGTGGAGTATGCAATCAAAACGGTGCAGCCTGTATTAGTGAAAATGAATTTCATATGTGTTTTGAGGGTAAGTACGAAGTGCTGAATACATATTGACATATAGGAATACTAATGCAATAATATTGGCATCTAAAAACGTGAATACATCTATTTATGTATAAAACTTGCCTTGCTAGTTTTATACAGAATGGGTTAGTATATCCCGAACAAGTCGGAGTTAAAGTGTTCGAATGAGTCTGGGCAACGCTGCAATTCAGTAGCTGTTCTATAACTACAATTATTTATTATACCCTCAACTATATGGCTACAGAGGTTATATTTCATTTGATACGGCCAAAACGTACCCTTGGTCTCTTTGGACCAAATCCGTTTCAGGACATTTGGAGTAGATTTAGAGGTGCCCATCTGTCTGCCCGGTGCTCAAAATAGCTCTTGAAAGAAGTATCAGATTTCGTCTAAACTTGTGAGATAAAAAAACTGCAACAAATCAAACGCCAAATGTCAAACGCCATAATGTTTACATTTTTTTCTTAACTTTATTGAATGAAAGCAAAATCTGTCGGAAATAGCGTCAGATTTTAGAATTAGTTTAGATTTGTTCGAATTGGTCACCTTTGGCACGAATTATGGCCTTCAAATGGCCAATGAAACCGTCACACGCTGTCCGAATGTTGATCTGCGGTATTTTGGTCCATACCCGGTGAAGCACTTGCTTGAGGTGATCGACACTTTGGTATTTTTTAGTGCCAACCTTGCTTTCCTAAATACTCCAGACACAATAGTCCAACGGATTGGTACTCGGATCCACGAAAAATGTGGCAAAAATCATCAAAATTCCAAATATCGGGAGGTAACGTTATATGGAGACTATACCAAAACGTGGGGGATATACGAAGACGTGGACCTGCACAGCCAATTTTCTGTCTTAGGCTGTAGCATTCTTTTCAAACTTCAAATACCAAAATTTGTAACAATTCCGATGAGTATTTTCGCAAAAATCATCAAAATAACGAATATCGTGAGGTACCGTTATATGGGGGCTATACCAAAACGTGGACCTGCATGGCCCATTGTCAATAACGAATAATGTCGCTAAAATCATGATTAACCTTCTATCTCAATTCATTCGAAAGATTGCGTGACTACAACAGACAGACGGATATACAGACATTCGGACATCGCTAGATCGTCTCAGAATTTTACGCTGATCCAGAATATATGTACTTTTTAGGGTCTATAATGAATATTTCGAGGAGTTACAAACGGAATGACAAAGCTAATATACACTCCATAGAGTGGTGGAGGGCATAAAGATAAAATATCAAAAAAAAATCTGACATCAAGCTTTGGTGTGAAGAAACGAGAAGTTACGATTTTCCCCCATCGTAATTCTACATTTATATATAGAGTTCCACCAGATATATAACCGTTTTTTACTTGTCTCCACAAAATAATCTAAATTTATATCAATAATTCGATGTAACCGTTCATATTCTAGGTAAACCCGACACCAGTAAAACTTACAAATGTCCAAACTCTGGTGATTTGTGTACCAGATTTTCTCAAATCTGCGTTGATAGAAAAGAAGCGCCTAATGCAACGCCAGCCTGTGGTGATACATCGAATTGCGGCAAATGTGAAACTGTCTTGGATGGTTCATTCACCTGCACTAGCCGTACCACGTATACAATGTGTAAGGGATATAAACTATCCGGATTACGTTTCAAATGTCCCGAATATTATATGTGCGATGTCGCACTGGCGTCTGAGGGACAAAATCCATGTGTTCCTGATTGTAAAGAGAGTTCCATCACTTTTTGTGATCTAACAAAAGCAATTGATGAACCGGAGACAACAACCACAGAGGGTTATACAACAACAACGCCAATGGAACCCACAACGACACCAGAGGAGCAAACAACCACAACAGAGCCCAATACAACAGAACCCGTTCCGTCGATACCCACTACTACAACAGATATACCTACTACCGTTCCAGTTACGTCAGAATCCACACCAACAACCATTCCCACCACCCAACCACCAACAACAACTTCAACTACAGAAGTACCCACTACTCAACCACCAACAACAACTACAGAAATACCCACCACCCAACCACCACCAACAACAACAACAACTACAGAAACACCCACCACCCAACCACCACCAACAACTACAACTACAGAAATACCCACCACCCAACCACCACCAACAACAACAACCACACAAATTCCCACCACTCAACCACCGCCAACAACAACCACAGTTTACGCCCCAACACCCACCACCACACCCGAACCGACCACAACTGAATTGCCAACCACAACGACAACAACTGAAAATCCAGCCGATGTTTTATGCTCCCAACAAACAGCCGTTGGTCGGTATCCACATCCAACCGACAATACGTGCAGAAAGTAAGTTCTGGTGGATTTCAGCAAATATTCGCACCATTGATAATCTCACCATATCTGTTTTCATCCATTTTCAGATACATCAACTGTTATCTCAGAGATGGTGTCATGAAGTCGACTACAATGTCATGTCCAGGTCAACTGTATTTTGACGCCGCAACAACATTGTGTGCCGAGAACAAGCCGGAAGGATGCGTTTAATGATTTGGCCAAGGAGATTAGAAGATGTATAGTTGAGGTGAATTTGTATATAGATGTGCTATAGTCCTCATCATTTGTTAAATAAATACCAATATTATATGATTAATTGTTTATAATATTGTACAAAGGAGCAAGGTTCTTGTTATCTGGCATTGTGGAATATTGTTGAAATGGCCTTCACATCTTTATTAAAAACAACGACGAATTTCGCACCATTTTTTATGTTTATATACCCTCCACCTTGGAAAGGAGGGTATATTAACTGTATCATTCTGTTTGTAACACCATCGTAGACCCCAAAAGTTCATTCTTAGTCTGTCTGTTGACATCACGATACAGCCTTCAAAATTTGGCGGAACAATTTGTATTGTGTCTAGGACGGTTGGAATTGGTCAACGTTTTGGTATACCCACCATACAACGGTACCTCGCGATATTCGGTATATGTAGGTCATAATGGGTTCTAGTTTTACAGGCGGAACATTGCATGTTTATGTCCACATTTTCATATAACCCACATACAACGGTACCTCCCAAATGGTTAATATAAGTCCGAATTGACTGGATTTTGGCACATAAGTATGAATTCAGCCTAAAAGAAGGTGTATAAAATTTGGTAAAAGATATAGGTATACGTCCTTCCTATACATTTTTCTTTAAGTCCCTCACACCCTTAAAGAGCAGTGATATTTGGTCCCAGGTATCAGATATAGTATAGAAATACCTCTGACCAATATTCAGATTAGATCGGTTCAGATTTGATCTCCATCCGATTTCAGCACGTCAAATTTCGTAGAAATCGGTTAACAGGTGGATATACTACCATATATTAGTTCCTTTCGGCTTTAAACTATATCTGCTTTAAAGCCATAATACGCATACAAAAACAATCATATATTCTCCACAAAAAAAAAAAAAAAAAAATATGGGTAGCTCTACTAAATATTCAAATTGATGTAGGGCATCATAAAGTAGGCACCGCTTGGGCCTTTCTTTTAAAGGTATTATGTCTTTGTGCATTTGTTTGTAACAGGGAGAAGGAAGCGAGATAGAGCCATAGTTACTTTTGATGATCTTCATAGAATCACTTTCTGAGTCGATTTATGCATGTCAGGTCATATATCCGTCCGTCTGTCTGTCCATGTATTCTTGTGAACGAAAAGCAGGTCGCATTTATTATCCGATTGAGTTGAAATTTTCCAAACAATATTCGGTTCAGATATAGCCATAGCTCCCATATATATGTTTCATGCGATTTGGTGTCTAAGTCCCTCATATGCGTAGTATCCATTCTACAACAATGATATTTGGTACCAGATATCTTATATAGCTTGGAAATACCTTTGCGAAATTTAATCGAGTTTGGCTAAGATTTGGGTATAGCTCCCATATATTTCCTTAATCCTACTTCAGGTTTATTGTGAAAATAATGGCTAATATCTGCCCAAATGGAGTGAATTTCGGGACGTACGTTTCCATTTTGTGGAACTCGGTTCCGATATATATGTTTTAATATAATCCTTTTCAGGCACTCTGAAACAATGTTATTTGGTATGAAAGATTAAAATGTCTCCCTCAAATTTAGTGAAAATCGATTCAGAATTGAATATGCTTCCACTACATCAGTTCCCTCGAAAACCGAACTATAATTGTTCTAAAGCCAAATGATGATAGGTGGAAATTATGATCAACTTCAAATAAATTATTTTGTTACGGGAGCTCTACTAAATATGCATAGTGGTGTAGGGTATCATATAGTCGGCCCCGCCCGATTTTTAATAATGTCACAAAAACATCAAAAATCCGAATGTAGGAAGTTACCGTTGTATGGAGACTATTCGAAGATGTGGACTTGCACATGCTGCAGTATCCTTTACGACATTCAAATACAAAATGTAAGTCGTAAGTCATCAAAATACGGTATATAGCAATGTAGCATCCGTAAAGTGCTCTCCACAGCAGTGTAGACGTAGACCTGCATGCGCAATTTTCTATCTTAAGCAGTAATACCCATTAGGAACGTAAATTTCTAAATTTGAAAAATTTATGCTGAAAAATGTGACACAGATCATCAATATACCGAATATCTGAAGGTAAAGTTATATGAGGACAATACGAAAACTCAGACCTATATTGACAGTTCTAAGCAGGCATATTTCTTTCATTATGGGAAAACATAGTGCAAATTTAAAGGTAAACTTACAGTATACCCACCATAGTATATTACATTTGTCATTCCGTTTGTAACACCTCGAAATATTCTTGATTAGCATAAAATTCTATCTCGATTTAGCGATGTCCGTCTGTGGAAATCACTCTAGTTTCCGAAAGAAATGAATAAGGTTGATAAAATTTTACTTAAATTTGTATTATGTCTGCAGGACTTTTGGTCATGTAGGTCCACGTTTTAGTATATCCCCCATATAACGGTACCTCCCGATCTTCGGAATTTTGATTATTTCAGCGTCATTATTCACAGGAATTGTTTCAAATTTGGTACTTATACCTTTTTTAGTGCGTAATGGGTACTACAGCCTATTTCAGAAAATTGTCGGTGCAGGTCCACATCTTCGTATAGTCCCCATATAACGGTACTTCCCGATATTTGGTGTTTTGTTGATTTTAGCGACATTATTCGCCGGAATTGTTTCAAATTTGATATTTGAAGTTCGTAATGGATACTACATCCTAAGATAGAAAATTGTCTGTGCAGGTTCACAGTATTTTTATGATTTTAGCTACATTGTTCACTGGAATTGTTTCAAATTTTGTTATTTGAAGTTCGTAATGAATACTACAGCGTATGAAAAATATCGGGAGGTACCGATATTCGGTATTTTTTTTTTAAGATTCGAGTTTCAATATTGTAATGGTTTATGACAAAAGTTGTTTATGCAGATCCATGTCATCGTATATGCCCTAATATAACTGCTACATTCGGTATTTTTAAGATTTTAACAACATTTTATTTTCTGTGAAAAGTGCCAAATTCGTTCCAAATTGTGGAGGTTATTCAAAGTTCGGCCATGCCGAACTTACACCTTTTTTATTTGTTTTAATTTACATTCCTGATTGAAGAACCTTTTTCAACTGCCAATGGTCGTAGAACATTAATTGGACTCCTTCTTTTGCATTTTTATAAATTATTTCCAAAAATTAGTGGTTTATCAATTGATGTTTCTCCTCAATGAAGATACCCTACAAAGACTTGGTTTTGTGGTTATGTTAAAACACAAACTTATTTACGACCCCGCCCATTTTAAGTCGTTATTTGATTTCTTTCCAATATACGATTAATTCATTAAAACAACATAAATTCATGCATGCGAAGAAATAATAATTAGCGATGTCTAATGAAAAAATGTAGAGATGTTCTGTGTATGCCGTTGACCTCTCAACACGCTACAATGGGGATATACAGACAGTCATCTTTAGCCCTTTGTGGCTATCGATTTATTCTGTATGAATCTAACAAATCTTAATATTACAAATAAATTCCGAATATTCATTCTCTCTAAACAAAAATTAGTTTAATTCTTCAATAATTGTCGACTCTAAAAGTTTACAAGCATTTATTATAACCTCAGCCATATGGCTAGTTATACCCTCAGCCACATGGTTAGTTATACATGCAACATTTTTTCTTTTTCTCTGCAGAAAAATTATTTTTTTTAAATTTCGACCTTTTGTGGGGGAGGTGCCAGAAGGAGTGGACCGATATTGCCCATTTCCGAACTCGATCTAAGTTTGACAAAAATATTACGATGTACTAAGTATGGACCAAATCGGATACTTTCTTCGAGAATTATCGTGTGCACCAGCCAGACAGACGGAAATCGCTAGATCGGCTCCAAATATTTCGAAACGGATTTGGTCCAAAGAGACCATAAAACCATTATTTCGACTATATATACATATATACATATATTCGGAAATGGGCAATATCGGTCCACTCCTTCTGGCACCACCCCCACAAAAGGTCGAAATTTAAAAAAAATATTTTTTCTGCAGAGAAAAAGAAAAAATTTTGCTTCAATATTTGCGTCAGTGCTAGGTCTTGTGCAAATATGGACAATATCGGCCCTCTCCATCAAGTACCTCTCCCACAATGGGTCAAAATTTTGAATGATTACAACTCTTATAAAATGTGAAGTAAGAGCCCGATTTTCTTTTCGATTTCACACATCCCAATAATTTTATTAGGAAGGTCTGATGTTAAGATGGAGTATATCGGTCCACTCCTTTTAGTTAAATACCCACTAAGCTCATAAAACGCGGAATTAGCATCCGATTCCATTTAGACTTCTTTTCTATCTGAATATTTCTATCAACACAGGATATGTTATAAAGACGGAGAGATCGGACCATTCCTTCTGGTACCTCCCCCACAAAGGGTCAAAGTTTCGAATAACCAAAATGTTTATAAAATCCGAAATAAGCATCCGGTTCTCTTTTTATTTCACACATACAAACATTTTTGCTAACACAAGATCTGTTGTAAAGATGGGATGTATCGGTCTACTCCTTGTGGTACCTCCCCCACAAAGGCTCAACATTTTGAATAACCATGAAGCTTATAAAAAACGAAATCAACCTCCGATTCCATTCCAGACTTTGCACATCTCAATATTTTCATCGACATAAGATCTGTTATAAAGATGGTAGAGATCGGACCATTTTTTTTTTGCTACTTGCCCCACATTAGGTTCAAGATTTTGAAAAACGAAACCCTCAAAAAAGCAATATAAACATCTAACACCTAACACAAGATCTGTTGTGAAGATGCTAGACTTCTGCAAACCCCTTCTGGTACCTCACCCACAAAGGGTCACAATTTGAAATACTTTTATCTGTCATAAATTGCGAAACTACTCAGCGATTCTCTACAACTTAATATATCTAAATATATGTATCTCAACCAGTAACCTGAGATTAATATGGAAATTATGATAATATATAAATGTTCGATTTTAATATAATTTTGCCCATACCAATGGTCTGGTACCTCATGTTAACATTGTGAAGGAAGTTAACAATATAGTCCAAACGTCGCAATATATTTTCAGCAAGAGCGCGCATCCTGCTTCTCAAGAACAACAACTTGTAATAAATTCTAATGGACATATTAATGTAGATGGTTATAAAAATCTTCAAAACACTTAAGTCATTAATCTGAAACATTTAAACTAGCACTGACAATGAAGACAAATCACACAATAATTAAGATATCTTTTTGTTTTCGGTGATTAGATTACGATTTATTTCTTAGAAGTCTTTATTGCCGTTGTAGAGCAACGCAACTTACCAAAAAATAAGACAACAGGTAAACAGAATTGTGAAATTAGAAAATATTTACATTGAGAAGTCGAAGAGTGACGAGTTTTTCTTAGACGTCTGGAAATGCAAATAAAGAAAAATTAACACCCCCCGAAAGTTGAATGGTAAACAGTTGTCAGTCATTTCACTTGCCGTAAAGTGTGTCTCTGGTTAGAGATTTTTAAAATAATACTTTTTATTTTAAGAAATTTGTTTCTTCGATTAGTTGTCCGAATGCTGCGACGCCAAACGTTTGTGACTCTTTCTTCAATAAATAACTGTGGAATTTCAATAAAGAAAGTGAAATGATACGCAGAGTGTTCTGTGGAGTCCCAAATGCCTACGCATGGCAAGTGAGTGATTAGCATTAAAGAGTAATTCGTTAATTCTGTGTGTGATATAAAATTGGAAAAGTTATCGCCAGATTTTTTATCTTAATAAACTTATTAAATAAATATGAACTTGAAATTTTCACAAACAAGTTAGAAAAGAACAAAGGTTGAAGAGCCTCGACCTACCCTACCTAAGATATACATTTGTTTCTATTGGGAATTTACATGAATTACATCATATGCTTCTTATCGAGTGCGAATTACGTGGAGAAGGCTTAATTATAAGATCGGATGAAACATATTTGGTAGCTATCGTATTTTGATTAACCCAACATAACAGCAGCTGGTATAGCTTAACCCATATAAATCATTTGACAGAGCTAGAGAATGATAAGTACCGCTTCTTTCCAAACGTTTCACAAACCAATATTTTTGTTAAACTTAGATCAAGGTTGAAGATGGATAACATCGGTCCTCTTCTTTCCATGTGGCACCTCCACAAAAAATTAAAAAAAAAAAAAATAATTACATCCACGAAAAAAAAAAACAGTAAAGAAAGTCTTAAAGTCGTTCGGGGCCGATTTTATGTAGCCTACACCACTTTGATAATTTAGTAGAGCTCCACATAACAATTTAAAGTTTTAATGGGAGAATTCAATCATACACGATATGATTGTAATTTTAATTTAAAGTTCAAAGGACTAAATATGCCGAAGCATTTGTATCCTTTAAATTCGGACTTGTATTGCCCATTTGGTGCACAATTACAATTAAATCGGATAAAAATATATATGGGAGCCATATCCAAATCGGAACCGATCTCCATAAAATTTGGCAAAGACCTTTCTGAGCTGTATTTGATATTTTTCCCTGAATATCGTTGTTACGGAGTGCATATTACGGCTGTGGGTAACAAATATAACAAATCGGATGAACACTATATATGGGAGCTATAGCTATATCTGAACCGATCTTCACCAAATTTGACATACAACCTTCTAGACTCAATTCGGTCGTAAGTGCCAAATTCCATCCCATTTGGGCAAATATTAGACGTTTGGTGCACAATAAAAGGTAAATCGGACGAAGTTATATATGGAAGCTATATCCAAATCTGAACCGATCTCGATAAAATTTAGCAAATGTATTTCTGAGCTGTATTTGATATATTTCCCCAAATATTGTTGTTACAGAGTGTATATTACGGCTGCGGAGGACAAAGAAAAAAACAAATCGGATGAACAATATACATGGGAGCTATATATCTGAACCGATTTCGATCAAATTTGGCATACTTATTTTCAGGCCTAATTTGGTTATAAAATTCTATACTGTTCGGGCTGATATTACATGTTTGGTGCTCCAATTTCAAGGCGGACTGATATGCTTAAATCAACTAACTATGGGTCTATCTCGCTTCTTTCTCCATGTTACAAACAAATGCACAAAGACATAATACCCTTACCACTATGTGGTGTAGGGTATAAAAGCATTTGGTAGGAAAATACCATTTGAATGAAAACCGTTATAAGGCGATATACGGGATGCATAAGTAGTTTTTTCTCATAGAGGATATAGAGGACCTGTATAAGTAGTTTTTTGTCATAATCTGTAGTACACATTACGAACTTGAAATACGAAATTTGAAGTCATCAAAACGCCCAATATCGGGAGGTACCTTTATGTGGGGCTATATAAAAATGTGGACCGATATGGCCCATTTAGGAACTTAGCCTACTGACAAAATATACACGTGTGCAAAAATTAAGCCTTTTACCTCAATCCTTTCGAAAGATAGTGTGATTACAATAGACAGACGGCCATCGCTTAATCGTTATATGGGGGCTATACGAAAATGTGGACCAATATATACAATGTTTCGGCACCGTAGCTAGAATCCATTACGAACAATCCGTGTCCAAAAATATCAAAATACCGAATACCACAGTAAAACGTGGACATATGCAGCCAATGTTCAGCCACCAGAAGTAGCACCCGTTACTCATTCCTAATATCAAATTTGGTGGACAAAATTCCGTAGACAAATGTGGCGAAATGTCATTAAAATACGAAATATCGGGAGATATCATTATATGGGTGCTATATCAAAACATGGACCGATATATCTCTTTTTCAATACCAATACACCAAATCGTTGATTTTCTTCGCATGTTATACGGATTATAATTATTCTAAATTTTGACCCTTAGAATGAATCGAATGCTTATTTCGCATTTTATGGGAGTTTGGGTTCTTCCAAATCTTAACCCTTTGTGGTGGAGGTACCAAAAGAAGGTCCTATATATTTCATCTTCACATCAGATATTGTTTTAGTAGAAATATTTTGATGTGTGAAATTTTAAGACAATCGGATGCTTATTTCGCATTTTATGAGAGATACAATTATTTAAAATGTTGACCCCTTGTGGAAGAGGTACGAGAAGCAGTGGACCAATATCTACCATCCTCACACCCGATCTTGTTTTAGTGAAAGTATTAGGATGTGTGCGATTTTAAGAAAATTGGGTTTCAATTCGCATTTTATGATCGTTTTGGTTATTCCCAATGTTAACCTTTTGTGGGGGAGGCACCGGAAGTAGTGGCTCAATATTACCAATATTCATAACAGATCTTGTCTTAATATTAAATTTTCGTTGTGGCGAGATTTACAGGATTCATGGTTATTCAGAGAAGGGGACACATATTGCCATCTCCGAACTCGATTTAAGTTTGACAATAATATAACGATGTACCAAGTTTGTGCCTAATCGGATACTCCCTTCGAGAGTTATCGTGCACAACAAGCGGACAAACAGACGGACAACCTAATTCGGCTCTAAATGTCCTGAAACGGTTTTGGTATTCAATTGTGACCTATAGAGCGATTGAAAAATCAGGAATATATTAATTTTTTGGTCCATTTGAAACCCCTAAATGTACATCTCAAAAACATTAGGCTTCAATTCTGACCTTAACCCTACTCCCATGCAAAATGTCGTGAGGATCGGACGATAATTGCTACCTGTATATAATACCCTAAAAATAAAGTGTTGCGGGTGTAGAAAATGTACAATTCAAAATATTAAGTCAAATTGAAAAAATCGCATGCGATTAAAAATATGAAAATTGAAACAAAAAATATTAAACTTTTTATTGCCATATTTTTCGAACAAAATCAGGATTTTTTTGTTTTGGTCCATTTAAAAACAATAGGCTTTTATTCTGACCTTATCCCCACCTACATTTTCAATATTGTCAGGATCGGGCCATAATTGCGACCTGTAGCGTGATTACAAATTAACATGGACGGACGGACAGACATACATAGCTAGATCGACTCAGCTCGGCGAGATGGTAGATCCATATATAATTTCCTATGTAGCGGGGACCAATATTTCGAGGTGTTACATAATCAAACATATAATACCCCAAACACATAGTGTTGAACGGAATAAAAACGACTGCTACCGTTAAATATTATTCGTATTAATTAGTTTAATTTAATTTGGTAAAAATGTACAAATGTGTTCTACAATAATATTTTGGAAGCTCATGTCTGATTTTGGCCATCGTAAATCTATACTTCAATTTATTAATAACTAGCTGGCCCGGTCCGCGTTGCCGGCCCGTAGATTTTGTCTATCATCCATATTTGTCCAAGCATAATTATTCACAGATATGACTGATATAAGTGTTCACGTACAGGTCGATTAAAAGTGTTTTAAAATACCTGTACCCATTTTTAAGCCGTGGGCTTCAATATTTAAACCGTGGTTTTCAACTGTGTGGATGTGCTATACAAATGTATTAAAAAGTATATATCAATCTTATCGCCATGTAAGGGATCAAATTAATTTTTAATATGGTAAAAATCGTAGCAAAGTCAAATGAGCAGTGATTTGGAATTTACTGTATTTTGTATACTACATAATTGAGGGCTGAATGATTTAAAAGTAGCCAAAGTTAAATACTTTCTTAAACCCATTAGCACCTTAGATTGTGCATTAGAGTCCTAATAATTCCCCCTAACCATGTCGGTCTGTTTGGTAAATTTAGGAGGTATGGTAAAATTAGGAGGTACCTTCTTTATATGGGCACTACTCCGAAACATCGACGTACATTGAAAACTTTCTTCTACCCCTTTCTTCTACCCTTATAATCCAATATGACAAATACAGACCAAATCAAAAATATAGCAGAACAATATAGCATGTCATAGCATTTCGCGTGATTTAAATAAGTAAAAATAGTTTTATCCACCTCATAATTGAGGGCAGAATGAAAGATGGGAATTAATTTTTATTGCCATTTAAATTGTAAGTTGGAGACCCCTTAAAGTCCATAGTTTCATCATAGTATAATTCAATGATGATTCAACAAATATTTGGTCCCGTGCTACTTTCTTATATTTGTAATTTGTTCATGTTTCCACAATTTATTTCATATAGATGTACATCCCAAATCTACGTTCCCAACCAATATTCTCTTGGGGGTTACAAATTCAATAGAATACAAACTTTTCTTTTCTGACCACACATTAGATGTGAAAGTGAAATTGGGGATACTCCAATGTGGGGATTTTACTTAAATAAATTCCTATGTGGCAATTATCTGTATGATGGTTCCCCAACCCAGCATAAACTCAATTTTTTAGCCAAATCAATTGATGAATGTGGTCAAGACCAATATGGGCCCTACTCTGAAAATTTCAAATTTTATGCGAAGAGGTTCTCTACCCCCTTTGAAACAAAGATGGCAAATAAGGGCCAAAAAATTAAAAAAGTGGCCAAGACCCAAAAAAAATAGCTTAAATCATAGATGGTTATATAAATATGAAATCGGGTTGTTTCCTTATCCGTGAGTAATGATCGATATAAAGACCTGCAAAAGCGATTTAAGGTATTTTGAATGTTTGGGAAGAATTTCTGGAAGGATATAAAACCTTTTCTCACTAAAAGTCCCATTCGCTCTACTATTTTGCACCTTTTATATTTGGTATTTTACTGATTATTCTCCCAAAGAATATTGCATTTTGAGCTCTCATTGGACGGATCATTGTCACATAAAAGAAGTAGGTCCACGCTTTGAAATGAGTCCCATTAGGCTTTTTCGGTCATTTTTGTTTGTTTAAATGTGTTCGCATCTTCCACCTGAACCACGATATAGGCCCTATCTCGCACTTATTTCATTTTTTTTTTTTTTGTTTTTGGTTAAAAATTGTATATAGTGAAAAATTATTCTTTAATTTGTTCACAAAAAATCCACTGAATTCAATATGATTTGAATATGATTTTATTTTAAATATTATTCATTCAGATTTCAAGGCAATAAAAAATGTTCACTTCAATATAGTATGTCAAATTGAAAAAAATCACACCAAAAAGAAACTTTTTATTAATATTTTTATTGGATACCATTCCAAAATTGTATGAATTGTCAAGCCGTTCTTTAGTTATACCTTATGTAATTTTTCCCCGATTTGAGAATTTTTGGAATGAGATCTCTTTTTTCAAGATTTTTAGAAATTTTGACTTAAATTTGGTGTGACCGCGTTAAATTATTTCGATAACATCTATTTCGTTTCGCCACCACATAATTTGGTACTACACTTCAATGTAACCCGGCTTCTATTTCAGTTCTCAAGAAATCGAGTCAAAATAAATTGGTATTAATATTCGAATATTAAAAGAAAAAAAAAAAATATTATAAAAAACACTACAAATGTACATTCGAAAAAAGTAAGTCAAAATAGAAAAAAAAAAAAAAAACATTACGATTGTACATTTCAGAAGTCAAAATGAAAATGTTAATATATCACATTTTTACGCGATTTTTTTGAATATTATCCTTTTCGGAAAAGAGACAATTCAGAATTTGTATGAATCGTTAAAATCAGATCAGCGGTTCTTGAGTTATAAGCGTAGTAACTAACACAACTTACATTTATATATATAGATAAAAGTATTGCCTAAATAACCCCAAACTATGACATATGTATTTCGCCTAACTAATATCTCCATTTTTTTGTCAATTTTTGCCCAATCGACCCAAAACAAATAGCTAGTCCTATGCTCGCTGCTGTTGATGTATTCTAATTATGCTGCTGGCGAATGCAATGTGTGCCAAGCGAATCAGGCGGCCTGTATCAATTCAACATCCTTCTATTTGTGCTTTGGTGGTAAATAGAACACTCAACATTGATTAGTGACTTATTGGCCTCCAACGCCCCGACTGACTAACTGCTGCATTGATTTGCCACTTTGTGTTCTACTTTCAGATGATGTACCGAACATGGAAACTCTGTATCATTGCAAGGAGGGCTTCGATTGCACCGATTTGAATGCAATTTGTGTCCAGAGCTCATCACAACGTCGGCCCAGTTGCGGTGACACATCGTTGTGTGGGATGTGCAGTGCCCATCGCAATCATTTGTTTGCATGCCTAAGTCGGACCACATTTCAAATGTGTTATGGCGCCATCCGGCCTATCGGACAAATTGGCTATTGTCCACAGGGTCTTGTTTGCGATGCCAATAGTGATGCAATTTGCGTTTTGGAAGATTTGGTGGAGAGTGTCACTTGTGATGTGGTGGCCGGAGGCGATGATAACGAAAACGGAGGTGAAAATGGTGGCGAAAATTCATCAACACCTGGAATTGGTTCAACGACACCAACGAATGGGAATGGTAATGACGGAGAAGGTTCCACTACCACAAATCCGGTGGGAGACTTAACACCACAACAAGTTTGCACTCAAATGGCAGAAGTTGGGCTATATCCAACATCTCCAGTGGATCCCTATTGCAAGAGGTATACAAAAAAAATAATAATAATAATAATTTTGCTATTAACTTTATACCTTATGGATACATTGTAAACTTAAGAATATTTTGCGAATCATTTTTATACCCTCCACTATTCTATGGAGGGTATATTAACTTTATCATCATCAGCGTATAATTCTAAGACGATTTAGCGATGTCCGTCTGTCTGTCTTTCTCTCTGTCTGTCCCGGTATGTTTCGAACGAATTGAGATGGAAGGCTAAAATTTTGCATAGTTTACCAGTAGGCAGGTAGAGCCGCCATATAACGGTACCCCCCGATATTCGGTATTTTCATGATTTTTATCGGAATTATTTCAAATTTTATATTTAAAGTGCGTAATGGTTACTACAGCCCATGACAAAAATTTTTGCATGCAGGTCCAAGTCTTCGTATAGGCCCCATATAACGGTACCTCCCGATATTCGGTATTTTCATGATTTCAGTGACATAATTTACCGGAATTATTTTAAATTTCGTATTTGAAGTTCGTAATGGGTACTACAGCCTATGACAAACATTTTTGTATGCAGGTCCACGTCTTCGTATAGCCCCCATATAACGGTAGCTCCCGATATTCGGTATTTTGATGATTTATGCCACATTTTTTCACGGATTTGTCTGGAAATTGGTATTTGTAGGTCATAACGGGTCCCTGAGCGTGTGGCAATAGTCTCCATATAAAGGTACCTCCCGATATTCGGTATTTTCGTTTTTTTTGCCACATTTTTTCACGGATTTGTCTAAAAATTGGTATTTGTGGGTCCTAATGGGTCCTAGTTTGTGTAGCGAAACATTGTAATTATAGGTCCACGTTTTGGTGTAGCCCCCATATAACGGTACCTCCCGATATTCGGCATTTTAATGGTTTTTGCCACATTTCTTCTAATTTTTCTTTTACCCTAAGGTGGAGGGTATTAAAAGTTTGGCCCGGTCGAACTTAATGTTTTTTTTACTTGTTTATTATCTCACCCTGTATGTTTGTGTTTCTCCCACTTAAATGACATATAACTAAAGCAGACATATATTTTACGCATTCTCATATCAATTATTTAACATATTTTTTCTCTCTTTCTCTTGTTTCAGATATGTGTATTGTTACAAAGAAAATGGAATAATTAAAGGAGTTGAATATAGCTGTTCTTCTGGAACTTATTATCATATTCAACAGGAACAATGTGTCTTCAATAAACCAACTTACTGTTTGTAATAAAAAAATACACGTTTTTCATACACTATTGGTCTTTTTATTTTTCACTTAAATTTAAAATTAAATTAATTATACCCTCTGTCACATAGGGATGTCTTTGAGCATTTATTTGTAAAATGCAAAAGGATATGAGATTTGTTAAATGCGTCGAGAGTTAGATATTATTCCTATTTTAATTCCCAAATATTATATAAATGATACACAAATTGCAGTACGATTGTCTATTTAGATGGCATGATGGATCATCAATGGAACTTGAGATATCGACCAATGATTCAAATTCAGATGCAGCTTCCATACACACATATATTCCATCCAATTTCAAATTAAGGCATTTTTGATTTACAAGATAATTGTTTTATTTATTTTTCGGTTCATCTAGAGTAACATTTTATGGAAAAAAAATTGATTTTTCAATCCATCTTAACACTCTGTTGGTTTCTTGGCTACACAATATTTGGAATATTGATCGAAATAAGTACTACCAGCACAGGTATATACTTGTCCAGACCAGGTACCACTAGGCGTGAGGAAGCAGTATATGTAGCTGCAATGGAAAATAATAATGTATGATAAAGCATTGCTTAAAATTAAGTATTTTATGGTGAAATACGGCCGGACGGAACTTTGAAAATACTGCTAAAATCATAAAAATACAGAATGAAGGGAGTTAACATTATATTGGTGCCTGTATAAAGAAGTGGACCTGTATATGCAATTTTGTCATAGGCCATTACGATGGTCAAATACAAAATTTGAAACAATTCGGGTGAAAAATGTCGCTGAAATCAGTAAAATACCGAATATAGAGAGGTACAGTTATATGGGGGCTATGCGAAGACGTGGATCTGTATGAGCAATTTTGAGGTTAAATTATGAGTTAAATACCTAAAAAACCTTAAATCTGTCGGTACAGTCATATGAGCGCTATACCAAAATATAAACCTATATAACCTATTTTCTATACCAAGAGTCCTGCAGAACAAACACACATCTCAGTAAACTCAACTTACTTTATTTCGCTCAGAAGCTAGAGTGATTTCCACAGATTTTCTAATACCCTCCACAGATTCCGTTGAATATATCGCTATAATTTTAAAAATTCCGAATATGTGATGTTAGTGTTATTTGGGGCTGTACGAAAACGTGGACTTTTGCAGATCCCAATATTTGCATCAGTGTTAGTGGCAGGTGTGGACAATATCGGTCCATTCCATCAAGTAACTCTCCCACAAAGGGTCTAAATTTTGAATAATAAATCTACATTTTTTAATATATAAAAACACGTCTCAATATTTATACCAACACAAGATCTGTTATAAAGATTAAATATTTTGGACCACTCCTTCTAGTACCTCCCACACAACGGGACACAATTTTCAGCAATTGTATATCTCATGCAATTCGAAAACGCTTCCCAATCTCTTCAAATTTCACGCAACCCAATATTATCCCCTCAACCATAGTATGGAGGGTATATTAAGTTTGTCATTTCATTTATAACATCTCGAAGTATACATTTTAGACCCCACAAAGTATAGATATATTCTTGATCAGCATAAAATTCTGTGTCGATTAAGCGATGTCGGCCTATTCGTCTGTGGACATCACTCTAGCTTCCGAAAGAAGCAGTAGGTTGGTAAAATTTTACTCAAATGTGTATTAGTCTGCACGACTTTTGGTATTGAAAGTGGGTCATGTAGGTCCACGTTTTGGTATAGCCCCCATATAATGGTAGCTCATTTTTTCGGTATTTTGGTCATTTAAACGAAATTATTCACCGGAAATGTATCAAATTTGGTATTTGAAGTTCGTAATGGATAGTATAGCCTAAGACAAAAAAATGTCTATGCAGGTCCACGTCTTCGTACAGCCGCCATATAACAATATCTCTCGATATTCGGTATTTTAATGATTTTAGCTACATTATTCACCGGAAATGTTTTCAATTTGGTGTTTGATGTTCGTAATGAATACTTCAGCCTATGATAGAAAATTGTCTGTGCAGGTCCACGTCTTCGTATAGCCTCAAAGGGGTCAACATTTTGAATAAAAAACCCTCATAAAAGTGAAATAAGCTTAAATTACACACATCCCAATATATTTAGGAACGAAAGATCTGGTGTGAAGATAGGATGTATCGGTCCATCCTTTCTTGTACACCACAAAGGTGTATAAAAGTAATAATTTTGAAAAATTATATATCTCTGAAATTGCGAAATAAACTTTCAAACTTCGCATATTCCAATATTTATTCTAACACAAGATCTGTAAAGATGATATATGTCAGCCCACCCCTTCTGGTACCTCCCCCACAAAGGGTAACAATGTCTCACATAACTTGCGATACAAGTCAAACTTGGTCTGTCTTAATATTTTTCTTGTTTGAGAGTTAAAGTGTTTGGCCAAATTAATACTCGTATGCTATCTGTAATATCGGCAAAGACACTATATACCTAAAGTGCAGGGTGTTCAAGAATTCTTAATCCGAAATGTTCAAAAAAAATCTGGTGGGCATGGCAAAACCACCCCCATTTCCAGTTACTTTACGATATTAACTCTCAAACAGACATGTTCTCTACTATTACCTCCACTTTCATAATCTACTGAGTTTTTTCTGTACTAACAATTAGTTTTACTTACTTCTGGTATGTACTATCAACTTCTGCAGGAACGGGAAATCTACTATTTATTTGCAACATCTGGCAATACCTTTTGGCGTATTCGGAAATTGTTATCGATCCACAACAATTTACGTTGTTATCATTCGACGAACAGGTTGGTGAAATCTTAAACGGTATGGTTCAATGAATTAAAATTTCATTGCATTATCAGGAATGAAAGAATATATTATACTTACCCCATCCGTGGCATTGCCGCACATTTGTGGTAAATTGATGTTGCACAATAAATCTGGCCCACAATCACCAATAGCGCTCGTTGAGGGGGTATTTGTGCCCAGACACAGGGCATAGGTATTACGACCTGTACAAGCAAACGTCTGAGTTGCATCACAAACATTACAACTACCACAGGTTGGCGCAATGTTCGATGATCGGGGTTGGCATGTCACTGTCGAGGCTGTCGAGCAAATGTAATCCGGCGGGCAGGAATTTATAGATCCCGTAGCTACATTATTCGCACATATTTGATACTGCGTCTCTGAAACACACGCTATTTGCGTCGCAGTGGAGCAGTCGTTGCATTGGCCTTCGATTTGTAGAAAAGTGCAAAGAAAAACTGTAAGGAGCTGAATAATTACTTTTAGTTTCAGAATTTTTTTAATATATATATTTTTTTTAGTCTACATACTATTTCAAATTTCTTTAGCTGAACTGCCATTTTCGCACTTTAGATATCTACTAAGTGACTTGTTTTTGTTCATGTTGATTTTATTCAAAATTTTTTACAAACATTCGTTATCTTTATTGTCCTGTTGATGCCCGAATTTCAAATAATTTATTAGAGTAATAGTATTGTCAAGGTGTCTTCAACACAAGGTGGATTTTATCAATGGCCAGATCCAGTTCTCATATCTTGGGGTTGAAAGTGCTTGTTTACTGGCAGATTTTTTTCCATAAGTCGTTATATTTATAATAATTCGGATTTAAAGTGTATTTGTCTTGCTAACCTTGACCAGCATAACTTCAGAAATTGTTGATGTTTAATTTCTTTAAGTCTACACAAGTCAAACTAAGAATATTGAATTTAACATCAATAATACAAGAAAGTGAAGGTGACTATAGCCTGGACTATAGACTGGACGGGACAGGACATTTTCGGCATTCTTCATATCAAAGTTTTCGTCCTTTTTACCAGCATAATAGTTACCGATCATTATACAAAATTGTGGTGTCTTTCTCGTCCCTCTGCTTTAACTACAATTGAAATTTTGCAGTTATCGGACTATAATAGCTAAGAAATCCGGTAAAAATTAAAGGGTGAGATAAAAAAACTGCAACGAAGTCAAACGCCATAATTTTTAAATTTGTTTTTTCATTTTTATTGAATGAAACCAAAAAATGTCGGAAATAGCATCAAATTTTGGAATAAGTTTAGATTTGTTCAAATTGGTCAACTTTGGCATGAGTTATGACCTTCAAACGGCCAATGAAACCGTCACACTCTCCCCGAATGTTGCTCTGCCATATTTTGGCCCATTCCCGGCGAAGCGCTTGCTTGAGGTGATCGACACTTTGGTATTTTTTAGTGCCAACCTTGCATTCCAAAATACTCCTGACACAATAGTCCAACGGATTGGTATCCGGAGATTTTGGTGGCCATTGTGCGCTGGAAATGAAGCGAGGGAACTCATTTTGTAAACATTCTTAGGTGGCGCGTGCTGAGTGCGATGGTGCAGAATCCTGTTGAAATTTCCAAGGTTTGCGGCCAAAATGTTTGCGTGCCCAAGGCTCTAATACACCCTCCAGAATATTTTCGCGATAATATTCGGCATATATTCTGATGCCATGGTCGATTAATACGAGTAGAGAGCGACCATCGGCTGTTATGGCGGCCCACACCATCACTATGGCCAGCTGACCTCTTTGGCAAGTAAACACGATCATTTTGTTTGTTTACAAAATCAAAATCGGCCGTTCACCACTTTCGGCCAAGCGAAGCAACACTTTAGCTCTTTTGAGTATATTTTCTTTCTGTTGCGGAGTAAGTTCTTGCACTTTTTGCAATTTCAATGGCTTTACCACGAGTTCATTTTTCAATATTTGACGAATGAAATATTGCGATATGTTCAGCTCACAAGACATTTTTCGGTCACTGCGACGCGGTTTTCGAACAAGTCGCTTCTTTACTTTTCGAACCATTTCTGTTGATGTTGCTCTTTTCTTCAGTCCACTTCCTTGACGTAGGGCTACGCTACCAATATCACGGTAACGAGCGATGGTACGAGAGACAAACGATTTATTATTATTATATTTATATAGGAGGTACAAGAAGGAGTGGGCCGATTTGCCCATCCCCGAACTCGAAACGAAATGACGGTTCCAAATTACTAAATTTGAAAGCATCCTGGTTTGTTTGGATTGAAGTCAAAGCGATACTTCAGGAGGATGTGCCACAACAAGCAATTGCAACTTGCCACCAATACAGCATTAGCCAGTGGTCTCTACTTGAAACCTCAATGCAATAGAATGCTGATATACTGCCGACAATGAAACGATAACTACGCAATTCAAGTCCACATTTATGACTAGTCTTCTTGTAGTAAAGTGGGTCAGAAGGCGATTGTGCAGCACGAACCTATGCCATATGGGTACGTCTACTTTTATTTCTTTCTGAACGTTCCTCTTGCGTTTGAGAATCACGGACATTCATATGAACTACCGTAGAGCATTGTCGTCAATATGCCCAATTGTTTTTTAAAGTGATATTTAAATGTGAGAGAGATTCTACTCATCAAACCCATTATGATAATATATTAATGGTTTTCGGGTCCTAAATTTTAATTGGTTTAAGAACTGGGAGTGACCATTTATTGAACCCACCAAATCATTGTTGAAGTTACACCTACTAAATTTTAATGCGATCTCATCACTGCAAATATTTTAAAAAAGTGCGCATGGTCGGTCCATCCGTCCATCCTGAATCGATACGTTCATTGTTTGAAAGAACAAGCGTCTTTAAAGATGGGGCATGTAAAGGGTATCATGCCCCTTCGAATTAAAAAAAAAAACAAAAACAAAAATAAGATCTTTTTTTCACCACGGTAAATTCCTCAATGTTCTGTGAACATTTCAGAAAAATCACACATTTTGCAACACAACCATGAATTTCAAAGAAATGTCGCAATACCTCCCAGAGTTGTTCAAGCCAATACACAAGCAGCTATTTATCTTTCAAATCAGATATGAGATCAGTTTTACCATACACAAAATAAACACACAAAATATACCCTGCACCATTTGAAAAAAATTCCAAATTTTCAAAAAAAAAAAAAAAAAAAAAAAAACAGTAAATAAAGTCTTTATATCGGGCGGGTCGATTTTATGATACCCTACACCACATAACAAATAAAAGTTTTTATATGGAATTTGTGAAAATTAAATCATACAAACTCATATATGACAGGAATATTCTCCCCTGAATCAATTTCAACCACATTAGCCGAGTCATTTCGGGCTTGTATTTCTCATTTCCCGATTAACTTGAAATCGGATAAAGTTATATATTTGAAGCTATACCCAAATCTGAACCGATCTAGATAACATTTACCAAAGGTATTTCTAAGCTGCATTTGATATATTTCCCCAAATATCAATGTTGCATAGTGCATAATACGACTGCGGAGGACAAAAATAACAAATCGGATGAACAATATATATGGAAGCTATAGCTGTATCTAAGTCGATTTCGATTAAATTTGGTGTAATTATTTTCAGGCCTAGAACAGACGGATCGACTCAGAATGAGATTCTATGCAGATCATCAAAAGGAACTATGGGTATATCTCCTTTCTTTTTGCCTGTTACAAACAAATGCACAAAGATGTAATACCCGGGCCGCTTTATAGTGTAGGGTATAAAAAAAATCGGGTCTATGCGAAGACGTGGTACTGCAAAAACAATTTTCTACCATAGGCTGTAGTATCCATTACAAACTTCAAATACCAAATTTGAAACAATTTCGGTGAATAATTTCGCTTAAATCATCAAAGTACTGAATATCGGGAGGTACCGTTATATGTGGGCTTTACAAAGGCATGTACCTGCATAGACAATGTTCCTCCATAGCGAACTTTAAATACGAAATTCAAAATAAATCCGGTTAATAATGTCGCTAAAATCATCAAAATACCAAATATCGGGAGCTATCGTTATTTGGGTCGTATAGCTCCCAAATAAATTGCATATACAATTTTTCGTCATAGGTTGAAGTACCCATTACGAATTTTATATACGAAATTTGAAACAATTCCGGTGGATAATGTCGCAAAAATCATTAAATTTCACTTCCAAGGGTAAGGTATTCAGAAGGAACTCCTTTTGTGGATTTTAAGACAATTTCATTGAAAACTGTGGCTAAATGGTGGATAAAATGGGGGCTATACGATATCGGGGAGCGATATACCCCATCTTCGAAATTGACCTGCATGCAGACAAAAGATCTGTGCAAAATTTTAGCTTCCTATCTAAATTAGTTTTGACGCTAGCGTGATTTCAACAGACTGACAGATGGACAGACAGACAGGGCTAAATGGTGTTCAAATTTTACTCCGATCAAGAATATATATACTTTGTTAAGTATAAAATTATTATTTCGATGAGTTACAAACGGAATGACGAACTTAATACACTCTTTATACTATGTATGGTAGAGGGTGTAACAAATGTTAGATTACGGACAAATTAATTGGATTATTTAGCTTGACACATCAAAACAATCATTTTATTAAATTTTGGGTTGGTCCCTGTGTGTCTTAAAAAGGACATCCAGTGGGTCTAGTAGCCACACAATAACGGGAATATGGATCAAAATATGTACTTCCAGGGCAAGTGTAAATTTGACCAGACCATGTGCCATTGCGGGTAAGGAAACAGTAGACATAACTGAAATGAAATGACGTTAAAGAAAAACTGAACTATGTTATGCAAGTGGATCGCCTTACTTCCTGCAAGTGTTATCGACTTCGGCTGGCAGAGTAAATCTGGCATTTATGCGTATTATTTGACATAGATACTGAGCATACGTTGGCAAGGTTGAAGGTGTTGTAAGACTGGGAAAAGTCGGACTTGTTGTGGTCGTAGTTGTGCAAGTTGCAGTTACCTTAAAATTAAACAGAAATCAGTTATAAAGTCAACTAGCAAGTGTCTATTAGACCTACCCCTGCCGCGGCGGGAACACACATTTCAGCAAAATTTGTGTTACACACCAAATTTGTACCACAACTACCAACGGCTGTGGTTGAGGGTACACTTGTTCCCAGGCACAAAGCGTAGGTGTTGGTTCCTGTGCAGGCAAATGTTAAATTTGTCGAACACACATTGCAACTGCCACAGGATGCTGGAATATTCATTGTCGTTGAGACACAAATTGCCGATGTTGTCGTGGAGCACACATAACCCAAGGGGCAACTGCTTGCACTTCCAGTCGGGAGATTATTCACACAAAACTGATATTCGGTTTCCGAAACACACGCCATTTGAGTGGTATTAGTACAGACATTGCATTCGGCAGCCAGGACTCCATTTTTGATTTCAAAAGCAAAAATTAGCTGGAAAACAAACTGTTTTGAGTAGTTCTATTCCACATCGATAAGTTATGACCTACAAGTAAGAATTTGAAAATTGCGAAAGACAACATCTTTAGTTTCTGCTGCAGTTTTAACAACTAATGATCTGCAAGTTGTTGTATCAACTTGTAACTTAATCTGCTGCAGTGCGTTTTTATCTAATCTGCAGATTTACGGGTTTGTTTTTCTTAAACAATCTGTAAATGGGCTTCATAAAATAATGGAATAAACCATGGGTAGATACTGTAAAGATATTTACAGAAATATATTTAATGACAATAAATAGTATTATTAAGTGTACTTACATTTGTCATTGACGTTTACCTACTTGTAAAGGTTAAATACATCCAAGAAGTTCGACATGTTGCAAATTGTAGGCCAAGTATTAAAACTTGGCCTACAATTTGCAACATGTCGAACTTCTTGGATGTATTTAACCTTTACAAGTAGGTAAACGTCAAAGAAGGACGGGATCGACTATTTGATACTTTACTAAACTCTGGTTTTGGTTTTTATTTATTTATTTATTATTTGAAGTAGACCATACCACCTATCAACATTTGGCTATAGAGCAGTTATAGTTTGGTTTCAGAGGGAACTAATGTTTGGGAGGCATCTCCAATTCTAAATCGATTTTCACTAATTTTGACGGAGACATTTTAATCTTTTATACCAAATAACATTGCTATAGAGTGCATGATATCACGTTAAGAAAGATTGTATTAAAAAAATATACATCGGACCCAAGTTCCACCAAATGGAAACGAACGTCCCAAAATTCACTCCATTTGGGCTAATATTTGCCATAATTGGCACAATAAACTTGAAATCAGATTAAAGATTTTTATGGGAGTTACATCCAAATCTTAGCCGATCTAGATAAATTTTTAAAAAAGGTATTTCCGAGCTCTATAAGATATCTTGTACCAAATATCATTGTTATCGAATGGATATTTCGAATTTGAGGGACTTAAACACGAAATCGAATGAAACGTACAGGGTGAAATGAAAAAAACTGCAACTAACTTCAGACTGCTGTCATTTCTAACACAGCTGTTAAAATTATTCCAGTGACAGCTCATTATATTGTTTACAGACGTACAAAAGCATTTTGGTGAGAATTTTCCACAAAAAAAAGTTATTCTTAATGGAACTCAAGCGTTATAGTTTAATTTCTTTATATTTGGCTAGAAAACCATAGGAGGCTATCGTTACAGCACTCCAGTATTTAAATGTGAATAAATATTTTGTGTCTCGTACCATCGCTCATTACCGTGATACTGGTAGCGTAGCCCGACGTCAAGGAAGAGGAGGAAAAAACATCAGCAGAAATGATTCGAAAAGTAAACAAGCGACTGGATCGAAACCCGCGTCGCAGTGGCCGAATGGCTCGTGAGCTGAACATATCGCAATATTCCATTCGGCAAATGTTGAAAAATGAGCTCAGTGTAAAGCCATTGAAGTTCCAAAAAGTGCAAGAACTTACACAGCAACTGAAAGAGAATAGATTCAAAAGAGATAAAGTGTTGCTTCGCTCCAATTGAAATAGGGTGAGATAAAAAATGCAACAAAGTCAAACGCCATAATTATTAATACTTTTTTTTTTTTAAATTTTATTGAATGAAAGCAAAAAATGTCGGAAATAGCATCAAATTTTAGAACAAGTTTAGATTTGTTCGAATTGATCACCTTTGGCACGAATTGTGGCCTTCAAACGGCCAATTAAACCGACACACGCTGTTAGAATGTTCCTCTGCGGTATTTTGAACCATTCCAGGCGAAGCGCTTGCTTGTGGTGATCGACACTTTGGTATTTGTTAGTGCCAACCTTGCTTTCCAAAATACTCCAGACACAATGGTCCAACGGATTGGAATCCGGAGATTTTGGTGGCCATTGCGCGCTGGAAATGAAGCGAGAAACCTCATTTTGTAACTATTCTTGGGTGGCGCATGTTGAGTGCGATGGTGCTGAGTCCTGTTGGAATGTCAAACAACCTCCAGAATATTTCGCGATAATAACCGGCATTTATTCTGATGCCACTGTCGATTAATACGAGCGGAGAACGATCACCGACTGTTATGACGGCCCACACCACACCATCACCTTGGTCGGCGTTAGAGTTCAGGTGGCCAACCGAACGTGCACATTTTCAGCTCACCTCTTTGGAAAAACTGTTGGACAACGAATGTGTTCTCATCGGAGAAAACCAAATTCGGCAGTTCACATCTTTCGTCCAAGCGAAGCAACTCTTTAGCTCTTTTGAGTATATTTTCTATCTGCTGCGGTGTAAGTTGTTGCACTTTTTGGAATTTCAATGGCTTTACTCCGAGCTCATTTTTTAATATTTGCCGAATGGAATATTACAATATGTTCAGCTCACGAGCCATTTTTCGGCCACTACGACGCGGGTTTCGATCAAGTCGCTTCTGTACTTTTCGAATCATTTTTGCTGATGTTGCTGTTTTCTTCGGTCCACTTTCTAGACGTCGAGCTGCGCTACCAGTATTACGGTAACGAGCGATGGTACGAGACACAAAAGATTTATTCACATTTAAATGCTGGAGTGCTCTAACGATAGCCACATGTGGGTTTCCTGCGAAATATAAAGAAATCACACTATCACGCTTGAATTCCATTTCGAATAACTTTTTTTCTGGGAAATTCTCACCAAAGTGCTTTTGTACGCTTGCAAACAATATAATAGGCTGTCACTGGAATAATTTTAACAGCTGTCGGACGAGTGGCTTTGAAACGACAGCAGTCTGAATTTGGTTGCAGTTGTTCATCTCACCCTGTATTGTCCCACTGAATCTGTGTGTGAATCTAAATCAAATATGTCGAGAAAATAATAAAAAATTGTAGAGTATTTTAAGATATACAATTTTTTTCGAACATTTGTATCCCAAAACTCTTTGTTTTGGAGAATAATCCGCAATCCGAATTGCGTTTAACTCCAAATTCCTTTTTTTGCTCACATGGAATATATGGGATATTCGTATAGTTTGTTTGTAACTACAAACTCTAGCCCCGTATGCAGATTTGTGGAAATTTTGGCAATTAGTGTATTTTTTGACAGGTCTACAGCATTAGAGCTAATTATACTTTACGCCACATAGCGATAAGGGTATTACGTCTGTGTGCAGTTGTTTGCCACATGAAGGAGAAAGCGAGATAGAGCCATAGTTCCTTTTGAGAATCTTCATAGAATCACTTTCTGAGTCGATTTATGAATGTCAGTCCGTCCGTCCATTAATTATCCGATTTAGATGACATTTTCCAAACAATATTTGTTTGGCCCAAGGACGAACCCTACTGAAAATGGCGAGAATCGGTTCAAATTTAGATATAGCTCCCATATATATCTTCAACCGATTTCGGGCAAATTGTGCACCAAATGGCCAATTCATTCCAAATGACCTGAATTTTAGCACATCCGATCCAATTCAGCTTGAAAGCACTATTGAGCTCCCATATATATTTTTATCCGATTTGGTAAATCCCTCACCTGCTTAATTTGCAATTTGCAACAATGATATTTGATACTGGACATCAGACAAAGCTCGAAAATAACACAGCCAAATTTTATCGTAATATAATATGTAATATCAGCCCGAATTTTACCATTTTGTGAAATTCGATCCAATATATTATTTATCATATCATGGACTATACGGCAATGTTATTTGGTTCATAGTTGGTATGATCTACCTTACGTAACTTCCCAAAATAAAGGTTTTTGTTACGGGAGCTCTACTAAATATGCATAGCGGTGTAGGGTAGGCCGATTTTTGACCTTTTCTTACTTGTATACATATATATGACCAATCTACGTACCTCAAAAAATTACTTGTTCAATTTATAAGATACGGGTCTAAATTTGGCAGAGTAGCGCGGTACGGCCCCTCCTATTTTTTAAGGTTTTGATTATTTGTTTTATTTTATCTTTTATTGTCAAATGCTTAGCTAACTATGGAGATTGATTGTGGTGAAAGTAGATTACTTTTACAATTTCCCCAGAATTATATCTCTAGAAATTACATGACAGTACACTAGATCAACCCATAAAAATATGCGATAAGATATAGGAAGATTCTTGATTCTTCATATAAACTGTGTGAAAACTATGAATTGCAGTTCGTTATTCGTTGCCACTGCAGATAGACAATAGATCAAAAATGAATCTCATTTTAAAAATTGGCGGGGTAAGTGAATTATTTCAAATTTCCAAATTTTATTTTTAAATCCATATTTCGGTTTCAGTTATTTGCGGTTGTCTTCCTGATATCCTTGATGGCAACCGATACAGGTGCTGATTGCAACGTCTGCAATGCTGGCAGTAATACAGCCTGTGTCTCAAAGAACGAATACAGGCAATGCAACTCAAGCAGCAAACCATTTGGAAAGTTGTACGAATGCAATGAGGGTTATTTTTGTTCCATTTTGGGCACATGTTCCGACGTACCAGAACTAGCCGAATGTAATGACTGTGGAAAGTGTGATGCAACTAAAACGTTTGCTTGCACTGGTACAAACACATTTAGTCTATGTCTTGGAACTGATAACACAACAGATATTGGGGCTCAGTGCTCCGGCAATTTGGTGTGTAACGCAAATGATCCTCGGATATGTGTGGAGGTGTGTTAACAAATTATTCCTTTCAAATTGTATGAAATTCAGTATTGATCTGAGCATTTTTCAGGATGCAGCAACCTGTTCATTTAGGGATGACCCTACGACGACCACGACAACGACCACAACAGAAGCAACCACAACCTCAACGACAACACCTTCGCCCAAAGAAGATCCCGCAGGTTTTTGTGCTGTAATTCAACAGGAAGGCCGTTTTCCAGTTGGTACAGATGATGCAACTACATGCCATCAGTAAGATCATAGAATTGAAGGAGAAATGTAGGTGTCTGACACTGATTTTAACATTTGTTTGTATGTTTCCAGATATGTTCACTGTTTGAATGTCAATGGCGTTTGGTATGGACCAACTTATAATTGCCCCGGCAAATATTATTATGACAGTGCCCTGAAATCATGCGTGCCAAAAATGCCAGCACATTGTGGCCCCAAAGTCTCAGGATTATCGTTCCGTAGTATTTTATTGGAATGATTCCAAGCCTAGTGATAAATAATAACTTTTATTCACCTGCATTTTGGATTTGTGCATTGATTTCGTTTTAATAAATGGCATATAAATGCACTTTCTATAGCGGCATTTAAAATCCGGAGATTTTTCTCAAACGTATTATATGGTTTTATGCCTAGGTTCACATGTTACATATCCGTCCGACATGTTACATTCCTCGATCCCTAGTTATTAAATATCTACTTAATTTCCACACAAATTTTACGAGCAAATATTAACTTTTGTTTTTTGTTCCTTTCTAATCACTCTCAGAACTAAAACAAGTATAGAAAGGTCAAAAGACAAGGAGACAACTTTATGATATCCCACGCCACTAAGAATATTTAGTAGAGCTACCCGTAACAAATAAACATTCATATTGGGAATTATCGTACCAACTATGAATTGTTTATTCCCTACAGGGTGAGATAACAACAAGTAAAAAAACATTAAGTTCGGCCGGGCCAAAATTTTGATACCCTCGACCTCAGGGTAAAGGAAACATTAGAGCCTATATACCAATTTTTAGACATATTCATGGGAAAATGTGCCAAAAGTCATCAAAATACCGAATATCGGGAAATTCGGCTATGTGGGGCTATACAAAAACGTGGACCTATACATACAAATACCAATTTTTGGACAAATCAGTGAAAAAATGTGGCAGTAACCATCAAAATAACGAATATCGGGAGATACCGTTATATGGGGGCTATACCCAATCGTGGACCCATGCATGCTTTGTTTCGCCACCGTAGCTGGAACCTATTATGACCAACAAATACCAATTTTTAGACAAATCCGTGAAAAAATGTGGCAAAAAGGTACCTTTATATGGGGGCTATACCAAAGCGTGGACCTATACATGCAATGTCTCGCTAAACGAGCTATGACCTACAAATACCAATTTATAGACATATCCGCGAAAAAATGTGCCGAAAATCATCAAAACACTGAATATCGGTAGGTACCGTTATATAGGGACTATACCAAAACGTGGACCGAAATATTCAATACCAACCATCCTAGACACAATACAAATTGCTCTGCTAAATTTTTGCGCTCTACGTCAAATAATGTGGGCTGTATCGTGATTTCAACAGACAGACAGACGGACATCGTAAAATCGACTTAGAATTTTATGCTGATTATGAATATATATACTTTATGGGGTCTACGACGAATATTTAAGGATGTTACAAGCGGAATGACAAAGTTAATACACCCTCTTTTCCAAGTTGGAGGGTATAAAAATGCAAAAATTAGAATAAGTTTAGATTTATTCGAATTTGTCACCTTTGGCATGAATTATGGCCTTCAAACGGCCAATGATGCTGTCCGAATGCTCTGCGGTATTTTGGCCCATTCCCGACGAAGCGCTTGCTGGAAGGGATCGACACTTTTGTATTTTTTAAGTGCCAACTTTGTTTTCCAAAATACTCCACACCAACACCATGGCCGGTCCTTGAGTTTTGATGGCCAACTGAAGGTGCACATTTTTAGCTGACCTCTTTGGTAAGTAAACACGATCATTTTGTTTGTTTACAAACTGTTGGACAACGAATGTTTTCTCATCGGCAGTTTACCACTTTCGGCCAAGCGAAGCAACTCTTTAGCTCTGTTGGGTCTATTTTCTTTCTGTTGCGGTGTGAGTTCTTGCACTTTTTGGAATTTCAATGGCTTTACTCCGAGCTCATTTTTCAATATTTACCGAATGGAATATTGCGAGCCATTTTTCGGCCACTGCGATGCGGGTTTCGATCAAGTCGCTTCTTTACTTTTCGAATCATTTCTGCTGATGTTGCTGTTTTCTTCAGTCCACTTCCTTGACGTCGGGCTACGCTACCCGTATCACGGTAACGAGCGATGGTAGGAGACACAACAGATTTATTCATATTTAAATTTTAGAGTGCTCTAACGATAGCCGCTTGTGGTTTTCCAGTCAAATATAAAGAAATCACACTATCACGCTTGAATTCCATCACGTATAACTTTTTTCTGGAAAATTCTCACCAAAATGCTCTGGTACGCTTGTTAACAATATAATGAGCTCTCACTGGACTAATTTTAACAGCTGTCGGACGATTGGCTTAGAAATGGCAGAAGTCTGAAGTTGGTTGCAGTTTTTTCATCTCACCCTGTACATTTTCGCCCGATTTGCCACTTATTGTGCATCAAATGTATAATATTAGTAGAATGGTATTTGGCGCATATAACCCAATTGATGGAAATCGGTTCAGATATAGCTATAGCGTCCATGAATATTCTTCATCCGATTTGTTAAATTTCTCCTCCACATCCGCAATATGTACTCCTTAACAACGATATTCGGAGATATATATCAGATTTGAATATGGCTCCCATATATACCTTCATACGATTTCAAGTTTATTGTGTTTTTCTACTTTGTAGAAACGTCATTAATGAGTACAAAGAAATAGGCAAAAAATGTAGAACTTTTTATTTTCCATACTTTCCATGCACCTGAACAAGTACTTACGGACGTAATAGTCAGTACTCATTGGCAGCATGATTTTTAAAACCAAGGGGAATGTTTGTTGTTGTTTTCTTCTTCAAATTAACTTATATCCACGACACAATACCAGCTAATTTGCCAATACTGCTATCGTATACTTTCATTTTCGAATCTTTTGTTGTGGCTTGTTTCCACTTTTCCATTTTAAGCATTTTGATAAAATAAGCGAAGCAACATCAAAATCAATACCATCCACCAAATTGTTTTCAATAAAATTCAAATTTAACACTACTAATCCTGCTGCCGTTAAGGCATCTCAATGGGCTAGGAAGTGAAAGGTATCGTTGATTTTTTTCAAAAATTTTTTTTGTAAGGTGGTATATTAGGATGTACGTAAAACGAAGTAATATTTATACACTACAACACTTTGTGTTGGGGGTATTATACGTTTGATTGGTCCAAAAATCATGTAACACCTCGAAATATTGGTTTCCCATATAGGAAAGTATATATGGATCTTCCTCTCTCGACGAGCTGAGTCAATTTAGCTATGTATGTCCTTCCGTCTGTCCGCCTGTCCATGTTAATTTGTAATCAAGCTATAGATCGCAATTATGGCCCGATCTTCATGAAATTGAAAATGGAGTTGGGGTTTGGGTCTGAATAGAAGCCTATTGCTTTTGGAGATGATCGATTAATATTTAGGGGTTGAACTGGACCAAATACTAAAAAAATTCCTGATTTTGCAGTTGCTCTTCAGGTCGCAATTATAGACCAATCGAAGCGAAAGTTAGCATGGGGCTAAAGCTTAAGGCTGGGCAGATCTTGGGGCTGGGAAGTAGCCTTCCAATTTTGACGGTCATCGGGTAATATTTAGTGGGTGAAAAAGGCCATAACAATTGTATTAAATAAAAGTCAAATTTTCAATTAAACCGCGAATATTTTTAATCCCGGAGAAATCACAAATAGGCGAACAGGTAATTCTGACCGTTACGTAGACCCCGATAGTAAATATATCGGATATATATAGCAAAATATCTATAATGTATATATACAAAGGAAGGGGATGTTAGCTATAATGCTTATATCTCCAGAATGGCTGGTATCGGTATTTTTTTTTTTTTTTTTTTTTTTTTTTTTTTTTTTTTTTTTTATTTATTTATTTAAATCTTAGATGTACATTTCAATATATATTCTATGTCCCACGAAACTGTAGTTAGTTTGTGTGTGGGATTTACGAACTATAATATTTATACATATTTTTTGGCCATAGTAGCCGTAGACTTCAATGGTTATGTTATTTATTTATATAATTTTGCTTCATTAATTTACTTTTAATACGCTTATCTTGTTCATTCAAAATTTCTTTTGGTAATGCATTTAGTGCAGTAGGAAGTGTAACGGAAATTGAGTACTTTCCATAATCATTTTTGTACTTCGGTATATTGTATTTGCCTTCGGCTTTGCTTCTTGTATTCACTTTGTGATCCAGTTTCTTCGCTAGGCCCCCATCTTCCATAAATTCTTTCACAATAGTGACTGTGTATAACTGATTTATATTGAGTATTGCCATATTTTTGAATATTGCTTTTGGTGATTTCTCTTTATTGCCATGAATGATCTGGTGGGTTTGGTTATCCATTTTCTTGTATACGAGTTTTACAATTCTGTTTTGGGTTGTTTGTATGTGTCTGGTACATTTTGCATTACCCCAGGCTGTAATACCATGCCTAAGATGTGATTCAACTAGTGAAAAGTATGCTTGCTTTAGGACGTGGTATGGTGCGGAATTGCCCAAATGATATAGTGCATAAGCAGATTGACGCAATTTATTCTGCAGGTGTTGAGCATGTACCTTCCATTTAAGGTGATCATCTAAGTAGACTCCTAGATATTTATAGGTTTCCACTACCTCAATCTTTGTGCTGCATTTATCATTGTTGTGTTGGTTTGTGTTGTTGTGTAGACAATTTGTGTCATGGTAGATAACTTCAATATTTGATTTTGGTGTGCGTGTTGGCCTCATGTTCATTATTTTGGTTTTGGATGAATTGACGATTAAACCACTGTCATGACACCATTTAGTAATTATGTTGAATTCATTTTGTAGAGTATTTGTTGCTGTTTTCAGAGATTTATTAGCGACGATAATGGCCGTATCATCAGCGTATGCGAACGCAGTACTCTTTTTAAGCTGATATATCATTTCATTTGAGTATATAATGTAGAGGATTGGACCCAATTTGGAACCTTGTGGGACACCATATGTTGCATTCTTCATTGAACTGCATGTATCATCAATTTTTACACAGAATGATCTTGATGAAAGGTAGTTTTCAAACCACCTCAACGTATTTCCTCGTATACCGCTCCTTTCGAGTGTTTCTATTAACTTTTTATGTGGCAGAGTGTCAAAAGCCTTACTGAAGTCAATGAATAATACGAGACAGTTTTCATTTTGGCTGAGGGATTTACTTATGTGATTGGTAAAGTAACCCAGAAGTTGGTTTATATTCCTTCCTTTTTGGAATCCAAATTGCTGCTTATTAATGATACAGTATTTCTTTAGAAAGTTTGTTAATCTTCTTGTGATGATTTCCTCTA